CCAAAGAGCGCAGCTGCGTCAAGACGTCAAGATGCATCAACAACACTCAGACAAGCCCAGCACTCCAACCTGAACAAGTCTGCTGTTGTTGGTTCCGTTGTGTGATGCCAGTCTCAGCCGCAGTCTCTCAGGTGATGGTGCCTAGCACGCACAAACCATGATTAACTTCATGGGGGGCTTACTGCGCCCTTCCAAACGGACGCTTACATTGATTCTGCCGTTCCTGCCACACGAAGCACGCATCATCACGCATCGTCTTGGATTTGTTGAAGGCGTGTTTTTGTTTTTGATGTTTTTGCGTTTACAGTTGGAAACGCTTTTAACTCGAGTTTTGGACTCGCTAGTCGCTCTTACGGCTTGGTGAGGCTCTTCGGCAGGCAATAGTAGATTGAAAGTAGCACTGACGAGCCGGAATTACCACTCCTGTCACACGAAAAAAGGCTTAACATGGGATTGAACATCTACTGAAGCAATTCGCCGTGTGACAAAACATGATAAGAAATGATACAATCTGACGTGACATGATAGGACATGGCAGGACATGACATGATATGATGTGATCTGATATGAACCGATTTGATATGATATGTTGGGTGAATGTTTCAAATCTGATGCAGTTGATCCGATGCAGTTAACTGCGATGGGCAAATCTGACGAAGTTGATCCGACGCAAACTTAGCATTGCTTTTGACCAATCGTTGCCAATCTGTATGAAGTCGCTAAAGTTTTCAGAAGGATTCGAGTAGTTAAGCCGCCGTATTAAAACATTCGGTTCGTGGCATAACTGTGGATCAAGCTCCATACCACAAACTGCACGGCAGAATGCATGACACCATCCTTTGCAACTTTTGATGGGCAGGGTCCGTAAAGGTTCGAGCTTGACGAGTCGCTTGTGGCAGACGCTGTGCTCCGCTTATGGAACTTGGGCATATTCTTGCACGAGCTTGCTTAAACCAAACGGAAGGGCAAGCCGCAACAACACCAACCACTCATCGAACACTTAAGTTTGTCGGCCGTTTGGGGGCAGAAAGCCGCAGGGTCATGCGTCTGCATGAGCCGTGATGCAATGGGAGCGGCGGCCCTCAAAACGCAGGACAGCCACATCTAGAGGCCCGGGAAAAGTGGAAACAAGCGGGATGCGGGAGTGACAAGGGTGCGACATGTACGTTTTGGGGTCGATTCTCGTTCCGTAAAGCCGTACAGGTCTACTACAAGAGTACCTAATGTAGGCAATCATGAGTTGACAGGCAAGATCTGCAGCGCTGCAGCCTTGACGTCGTGGAGGTTGCTTACTAGCGTGGATGTGGTTTCAGCCCAGGACCAGCCAAACAATTCTCAAGAGCATAACTCGAGGGCTGCGTGCGAATCTGAATGCTAACGCGGCCCGCTTCAGGATGTCGGACACATTTGGCTGTCCCTGGTAGATGGCGCTCAATGTCCTTTGCCTTGAGCAGCTGTTGGTAATCCCTTGCCGACTACTGATCAAGTGTCTGCACGAGGCGATGTCGCTATCTCCTGGAGCATCCCTGATGGCAACCGGAGCGAGCTCAACCGTCTGAGCCAGGTGGGACTTGCACACGTCATGTCGAGAAGCATCTCTAAAGCCCTGTTGCCGGAGTAGTTGATTCATTGGGAGACAGTTGGATGTATGTGCAACATGCCTGATGCCGTGGTCGGCTACCGAATGTGTTCTGCACTGCATCTTCTGATTGTGCCACTCAGCAACAGTTGCTTTCTGCATGTGTGCATCCCTGCTGTGCCTCCCAAACCGAACAGACCCGGCTGCCTGAACAAAGACATCAGAGACCAAAGACAGGTGAGCTATGCGCGCAGCAGCGCCGACTTGGCAAAAGGCTCGTCGCTCAATATGACCGGGAGCGTTTCCGACCCGTGGCATGGACGACGATGGGTGCAAGCGGTGTTGCGCGGCCTCGAGCAGGAGTGAAGAGGGTTTCAGTGCGCTGGATTCGGGGAAGTGGGGAGAAACGAACTTTGCACCAGGCACTTGAGACTGACACCCTGAGGATCTGGCTTATCGGATCGGGACCCCTGGTGGCTTTGGGCCCGTCGAGACCCGATTGCCGTCCTGCCACTGGACAGGTCAGTCCCCAGTGTCCGCGTCTCAGAATCATGTCGTTCCAACGGATGCCGGTCAAAACTGCGAAGAGACCTCTGCCGACCAGAGGCCCTCAACTGAGCCTGCCACTGCCAGTGCTGCAGGCTGCTGGCTCTGTAAAACAACTTGGGGACGCCGCATAGCACCTTGCGTTTGCTGCTCGTTTCGCATCGTGAAGTCTTAAGGCTTTCCATGTCTTTGAGCGTTCGGTTCGAAGTCGCAGCAGGCCCTTTGCGGTTGGCGGTGCTCGGAGATCTTGGCTTCAGAGACGGTGGCGCCACTGACCAGATCCTCGCAAGGATGAACTCAGCAATCGGGCAAAGTTGTTGCAACAGCAGCTCGTGATCAATGCTCGGGCAAATTTGCAGCGTCGGTGCGCGCCCGATTCTGGCTTGAACACATGCGTGAGGTCCGGGGGCACCTGGGCTTTGTCGTTTGCCGCAGGATTCAAAACTCGACACCGGATGCTGTGATTCAGCTGGGTGATTTGACCTGGGATCTTTCCCAGCAGGACTGGGGGGTGAACGGAGAGCTCCAGCACCACCATGTTTGCCACCAAGACTTTGTGTTCCTGATAATTGTGATTGCAGGGGAGCACGACTGCCAGCGATTTCTGGAGCAAGTCCGGGCCTTTGGGGAATGCCTTGGCCTGATCGAAGGTCATTCATTTCAAGACTACAATCTTTTGGGAGTACATGTTGACAACAGAGCCACACTCTTGTCCTGAACATCCCTAATATTCTCTAATCATGGCAGCTATGAATTGGACAAATTCAATAGCAACAAGATCAATGAAGACAAACTTGACAAAATGCCCCGCCTCCAGGCTCCAGCCGCTTTCGGCGATGCGGCCTTTCATGCCTCTGCCAGGAGTTGGCACCTCAGGTGCCTTCTTCGGTTCGAGGTCTGCAGCTTTGTGGTGTAAATCTATCATCGTCTGGTTTGCTCTGTGCGGTACTGCGAGATGCAGCCAATGCCAAGGACAGGGATCGTCCCGAAGTCTATCAGCGACCCGGCGGCATGCTCGACACTTCAACTGAACATCACAACGAGCTCCTCATAAATCTAGATTACTACAGGCCCAAGATGTCAAGGTAGAACACGACACTTGACGGACTAGTCCACGGCAATCGAAGCTTGAACAAGATCCTGTACGATGCGCTGACACCAGTTCTACCAGTAAAGGCCATGAAGTTGGAACATAGAACGGGAGGCATTAGGATCCGTTTGTCTGTAGAACCATAGTTAGAGTCAGGGTTTCAACTTTCTGGCTGCTGCTGTTATGAAGAGATTCAAGTGACATCATTGGGTGTTTTGCTGCTCAGTGCGACATATTCGTTCAAGTCAAGATTGCACCCATGAACATACGGAAATATGTAAGCTTGCAAGCAAGCTGGACAAGCTACAACCTTGGTGCATCAAGACAATCCCTTCACGCTGTCTTGTGCTGCCAGACGTTTCTTCCAGATGTCGAACTCAAGCAACCCGCCATGGGCTCAGAGGCAGGCACAAATCTGGGGTGTCCGATGCTGCGAACACGGGAAGGACTAGTAAGGGTAGACTGGTGCGAGCGGATCATAACATGTGAGAGAGCTTTCATCGGCTTCAGGCGAAGTATGATCTAGGCGTATTGAAGCTCCTCACCAAGATGCTTCAAGACAGACTTCCGTGAATGGTGTCCGGTGTCCACCGCATTCGGAGCATCTGAGCGCCTCCACACCGCTTCAAAGCCCCCAATGCGCATGAGAGCTCAAGGCCTGAAAGCGCCCAAGCGCAAAAAGGCAAAAAGTCAAAAAGGCAGCCTTTTAGCCTGGCAGTGCCTAACGTGAAAGCATCTGTGAGCACCCTGAGTCTCAGAGTCTAAGCACCTGGCCGCCTTCTAGGCATCTAGAAGTCAGTCCGGATGTCGTTCAAGGGCCTTCAGAGGCTTGAAGCCAGCTGTCCGAGGTGTGAATGGTAGAAGGACCCCATGCTCCGACTCTCTTAAGACACGGATCCGTGCCGAACTATGACAAAGGCTTTTTTTTCCTTAGCTGCATGTCTGAGAGAGCTATGTGCTGAGAGCATGGGACTTTGGGCCGAACGAGTGTGCGTTCTCCACATTCTTGTGCTTGTTTGCTTGCACGCACGGCTGTGCTTGAGGTGGTATACTTTCACTGTGGGTTCTGTGAGGTTTATCATGCGTGGACCTCAGCTGAACTTGCTCTTAACCTAGTGCTGTCCTTGCCATTGCACACGGCTGTTGCCCTTGAGCCTCTGTCTGTTTGGGGCATCCGGCCTTGGATGTTAGCTCCGGGTGAAACCGAGCGTTGCAAATGCCATGCTTGCGAGTGACCTTGCGAGGCTCTGGACTGATGCTTTGGGCGCTTTGGGCACGTCTCCGGAGCAGAGGGCTCGATACAAGCGCGGAAGCAGGGCTCCTCTGTGTCCGCGCTCGGCTCGAGGCAGCAGCGTGCCTCCTTGGCCGCGGTCTTGGGCTTCTCGTCGCAGTCTTGAGCCCTTTTCTTCCCGATGGAGGCCAAGCAGCAGCTTCAGTGGCTGGAGGAAGTGCTGAAAAAGGCAGATAGCGCGGAGGCCGGTCATCTGCCGTTGTGACCGCTCAAAATCGCATTGCAAGGTCCTTGCCCCTATGCAAGCAAGCACATTCGGAATGCCAAGGCTCGAGGCAATCAGCCGTGGGTCGTCGTGGCTGGCCACAGGCCTGGTTCAAGGGGCGCGATGAGCTTGCAGGGGGCAAATTCTTGGACATGACGTGGCCGGATGCTTCAAGTGTCAAGCTCAAGCCTTTTCGAAGTCCCAGAGCGGGACCCAGCCGAAGGCACCGTGGTGCGGTCAAGATACGGCTCCTAAGTATGCTACAACTGCTTGTTATTTTGGGATCCTGAATGCATTTCTATATATATATATATATAAGCATACTTGTACATCTCTCTCTCTCTCCCCCACTCTCTCCCTCTCTCTCTCTCTATATATATATATATATACAATACATCTACCTATACTATACATATATGGTGTTTGGTTTCTAGCTATAGGGTCTAGGCATCTGCTTCGCGAGGCCGCTCTACTGCTCTCTGGAGAGGCCCACCTGCAGCACCGAGGCTTTGGAGGGTACTTAGAAATATTTTTAATCTTTGGCTACTATAAACCCCAAGCAGCGGCTACAAATATAATTTTTGCTAGGGGTCTAAGTTCAGTATAGGTATTAGGGAGAAGCCTCAGAGGGGACCCTATTTTAATCCTACTTGTGGCTCTCTTAAGAGAGACCTTATTGAGAGGGTCTATTCCCCCTAATCCTAACTCCTATTAGTGAAGGGCTTTTGGGGCACGGAACTGTGCTGATTAGAGTAGGGCTTGTTGCGGCCTAGGATACGATTCCACGACTTACTGCATGGCGACTGCACCATGGGATATTCCGTCCCGAAACAGCTTTCAAGTTGGGTGATCATCCGATGGCGCGTGAATGGCTTCGGGACGTGGGGGGAGGCTTTCTCGTGATGCAATAAGGCTGCACTTTCTGTCTGTAATTACTTTAACTGTTAACTATCATGGTTAGTATAAGCTTTGCTATCAGGCTTACTGTAAGGTTACTGTATCGGGTTGTGGCTTTTGGGCTTACGCCTCCGAGCTCCGGGCTGAGAGGAAGCAGCGCATCCTCACAGCCGCGCCGAACATGGCCACGGGTTTAGGTAGGGTTTAGGGGGCCTTCCTTCCTTTACCCAAACCTCCGCAGATTGCTAGAAATAGTAGTGAATCCTCCCACATGAGGCAGACCCAGCCTCTGAAAGCCTCAAAGCCTCGATCTGGTAGGGAAACTGGGATCCTTGCTCGGCAGGCTGCCTCTTTGCGCTCCATCTTGGAGCCACTACTGGTGAGGCCTGGCAGAAGAGTTGGGATCATTATATACTGTATATGGCACACAATAAATAGACCATAGAGCAGTATCGTATCGCATCGTATCGTACAGTATCGTATCGTAGTGGAGAACTGTGTAGAATAGAGTACAGTACAATAGAGAGCCGAGTGTAGTCTTGGCACAGCACACCATGGCAAAGTATCGTGGAGTAGAGTAGAGCAAAGCAGGGTAGAGTATAGTAGTGCAATTTTGTCTGCAGGTTTGTATTGTATAGGGTTGCAGTTATTGACATCGTTATTACAGGTAGTTAATCCTATTTATTGTATGTATGTACGTATGCATGCATGACTTTGCGTGTGTCTTTATAAGGCTTGGAGTTAGCTTAGGATTTGAGGCTTGTTCTGTACTTGTTTGATAGTCAACGTTTACCAGGTTGATGTGCTGCGCGGTTGGCACATCGAGATAACCATGCCTTCCCAGAGGGTAAACATGCACATTGTTCCAAGTGTCTGACTACAGGCCAAACTCATTCGAGCAGGAGTTTGAGGTCTTCCATACTGCTATAGAGACGTACGGGTTGTCCGTAAGGAATAACTATCCTCAAGCTCTATACCTTCAAAGTAACGATGGTAACATACGGTGAGGTACTTCTAATGCAGGGTCGAGGAGTTCCATACCGCGTGCGTCGTTGGCATTTGGAAGGTGTTGAGGGATATTACGCATCAAAGTTTATGGAACCGGCCCCGTCTGCAACACATGGAGAAACACGTCCTAAACGTGGTCTTGTGATCCCGAAGTGCGGATGCGTGCTGTAGGTACCGGGTCGACCTTTACCTGGCATCGCATGTTCATGCCTATGAGAGAACCTTCCGGACGGTGAATGGCTCGGTGTGTGCTGGGCTCAGCACTGTGATGTCAGTCAGGGTGATGGGCTCGCTAGTTTCTCCGTGATACAGCTGGGACCTCGGCAACTTGTCCCCAGTTTGAAGACGCAATCGCTGCACTTCTCATCTCGACAGTAAGGTGTTTTGAGACTTAGGAGTGACATGGGGTGACCTTCCGAGGATCGAATCTCGAGACTCCACCGTACTCCAACGCGATAAGCTCCCGCAATAAGTTGGAGGCATAAATCACTGTGCACATAGAAGACAACTTGGCACTGATCGTCGCAGAATGAGGGGATCCATAGGTTGAGAAGGCAGAGGAGCTTTCGAGACGTAGCTGCCGGTGGATCCCAAAAATAAAGCCCTGAACCCCTGATCCCCGAAACCCTGAACCCCTCCGGGTCTGGAGCAGCTGCGCTTGCCTCCCGGTAAGACTAGGCTGCTGTTAAGGAGCTGAAGTTAAAGTTACCATAATAACGAAACCCTGGTATTTACTATACAGGATTTGGGGTTTGGGGATAAGAAAACTTCATTATGTACTGTGTAATTTGAATTAAGTTCCGTAACAGCCACCCAGGGGACCGCCCTTGGTGTGTTCGGCCGAGGCAAGGCCGATGAGACAGAAGACTCCTCTTGTGGGCGCCTGGACGACGAAAGAGCCCCTGAAGTCTTCCTCTTCGGCTTTTAGTCAGGTTAGGTAGGGGACTTTATCGCTCTAAGACGGCTTCCAGGATCTGTCAGGTATCGGGACCCCTAAACCCTAAACCCTAAACCCTAAACAGGCTTTCAGAGGGGTTCCGTGGCAGAAAAATAGCGAGTAGGGAAGAGCCGGAGGCCGGTGAACATTGTGAACGGAGACTCTGGCGAGCCTTCTTTGCAGAAGCTTGGCTTCCTTTAGAGTGCCTTTGTAGGGTTTAGGGTTTAGGGTTTAGAGGGAGAGAGGCTTCTTAGGAGTTCTCTGGTAGAGCTGATGGAGTCTCGGGTCTCGGGGAGTGAGGTATGAAGATATGCCAGCCCGCTTCACAGTGAAACGACATCCTGGCCAGTCCGTCCCTTACGAAGCCTGATTTTTGAAAGCTCACCCTTCTCCATGTCCTCCCACAAACACATGAGAGGCCCGGCTATGGTGAGCTTATCGTGCTGAATGCCACTGCGATTGAGTTTGCGCCTCATACCTCACAGCTAGTACATGTCGCAAAGTATATGCTTCGTTGCTGTTGCTAAGCGCTTAGGTATCGCCAGCTGGATGCGACAACGGGGGCAGTCAATGACCAGTGTTAGTCTTGGTGATGGACATGCCATGGCTTTTTGTCTCATGATTATTGACGGCGACTGCCTGCATTTCAGGTTCATCATGTTGAAGGCTTCTTCGGACGATGCCGAGCTGCAGGAGCCACTGACGGGTTGACAGCGGCGCTTGTGGATATTATTTGCAAACAAGGAGGAGTCCTGCCGTTCCTCTTCGTAGGTTTATCTACTCGGAGCGGGCCTTTGTGTCTTTTTTCAGGGTTGAGGAGACCTCCAAATGCGGGGCTTGTTGCAGGAGGCTCAAGTTTATGCAATTCGTACTCTGTGAGGCCTGTGGTTCGGCCCGACCATGGTGGCTGGTCCAAGTCATGCCTACACTTCAGGAGAACTTTCTGGAGGCTGTCGGCTGGCTGGCTTCTGACTCGGCAGAGACAAGTTTGAATGTTTGGCGCATGTCTGCGTCTGCGATTGCTACCACTGGAGTGTCATTGCCCAACCAGGCCTTCGCTACTGCATTGGTGACTTTTACTTGCGGGTGCAGAACTTGGCCTTGTGAAGTTGCTGGAAGTGGCTTCTCCGGCAAGGGATGCAGATTGTGAGGACGTCAGCCAAGAAGCCATGAATTTTGCGTGCTAAGGTTCGTGAAGTGGGTACACGCAGATGGCTTGAAGCGTCGCGACGAGGCCGAGACAAAAGCCACTACCACATGTTTACCATAGAATGATAGGCGTTTACCATCGCCGGTACACCGTGCTGGCAGCTCTGTGCAGGCTTTGAGGCACCTGCGCACAGAGATCGCGGTGACTTGCCTTTTGTTTGGGCCATTTCCCTGCTGTGCTGATCGTTACGGTTGCCTGTGTGTACTTGTGTTTGCTTGTTGTTTTCTTGCTCCTTGCAGCGGCCGGCTATGACTCTGTTCTGGGCTCGAGGTCTTGAGTGGCATGCCGCTGAAGGTGCGCAGCTACCAAGCGACGGATTTGGCAGCCTCCGCCCGCAAATCATCGCAGGTTACCGGAAGCCCTGTCGAAGCCCAGCACTTGGTGGGGGCTGCGGCCTCGGCCATGGAGGGTGCATAGACGGGCCGCGAAGTGCTCCTTTATGCTGCAGGCATGTAGCACAGTGATGCGCAATGCTGTCGTCTCTTCGGCGCCGTGGCTTCGTTGCTGTTAGGACGCATCCTCTGGGCTTCACTGATGGCTGTTACAGCTTCTGATAGCGACCGGCTGCATTGAACGGTATTTGATCACGCGATCCCAAGTGCTATCAGCCAAGCGCATGAGACGTGAAATGTGGAGCTATGAGTACCGGGACTGCGCATCAAAACTCAAGCTACCAAGTAGCGAGCTTTTGCTGAGACAGCATCTAGCACGAGGATTGCTTCCCTCTCCGCTCTCCCTCCGGCAAAGTCGTGGGAATGCGATGCATGCCTCGCCTGTCTTCAAGCAGAAAGACTATACCTGGCTGGGATGCCTGCTTATGCCTTGTCTGGCCTAGTTCTGGATGGTGTTGGTACATGTCCTTAGGATGCCACGGACAAGGGGAGTGCCTGCCTAGCTCAGGGTTTTTGTATTGCCTTCATCTTGCCGAGACGCTCTCCGCAGCCGTGAATGCAACAGATGTCGAAGAATACATGGATCGTGCTTGTGCGCACGACGCGTGGACCCCAGTTAGCACCCCCGAGAGGCAGCGTCCTTGTCGCCACGCACTTGCCTCAGGCAGTAGCCCAGGCGCAGGGGGGCAGATGCCAGAGGCAGGCGAGAGATGAAAGGGTGGGCATGCGTGCGCAAAGTGCAGAGGGCCCGGCAGCGAAAGCCCCAGCGAAGCCAGGATGGGCCTCCCACCAGCGCAGCCGGCGAGGCTGCAGGACGGAGCACATGCTGCACACTTCTGATGCTCCTGCGTTGCGTCTTTCAATTTAGATGACAGGGCTCATGTCATGTCAGCTTGTCCGTGAATTGAAAACATGCCGCCAACAAGGCCGGCAATGCAAGGCTTCACGCACACACCTGAAAGCACACGCCACATGCCACAACACACAGCCTGAATACTCCGCATCTTGAAACACCATGGGCCAGTCTGATGACAAGACCCCGTTGCAGACTGCCCGAGATCTTCTTGTCGAGGCAATCAACGCTAGTCTTGCAACTCAGGTGTGTTTGACGAAGCCCCATGGCTGCTCCTCGGATCCCTAGGCTCGTAGAAGGTGGAACCGACTCCGGCATCAAAGCGCCTCCGCGCAAGACCCCACATGACACAAACACAGCCAGTATGACGACGCGGAGCAGGGTGGCAAAGAGGGCTTCGGGTTGGCAGGTTTGGGTGTGACGGTTTGACAGCGTGCTCTGTTGAGAATCTTGAGGCTTGCAGTGGCAATAATAAGCGTTGTTTCTATTCGACGCTGGTATGGCTCAGCTGGACAGATTTAGCATGATGCGTCAACGAACCAGCTGCCCAGAAGGATTCTTCGATGGTCTGGATTCCTGACTGTTTTTGTTCTGGCCCCTTGGTTAAATGGTAGCCGAAGAGCGTTGTGCACACGGAAGGACCTGGCGAAGACATCAGCCAGGTGGAGGCTTTCGCTCCTTCTCGTAGCCGGCAAGCTAAGCAATCAGAGGCAACATCATTGAGTTGACCGGACGGAGTAGAGGATCCAGTCGGTAATTTAACTTGTCATACCGGGAGTATCCGAGGAGAGGCAGAAGCCGAGAACTTCGCCATTTCACACGGGCTGCTAATGGCAAGTGCCTTTTTTTGGGGTGCTCTGGAGTTCTCCACAGGCCTTCAGCCGCGAGTTCTTCGCGGAGGTGCAGACCAAGATGGAGCGGCACCAGCGCGAGTTGCTGCAGCGGCTGAACTTCCAAGACGAGGCCGAGGGTGGGTCGGACAAGCCGTGCACAGAGAGTGGAGAAATCAAACGCTTCCGAACCCACAGTGTCAACAGGATGGTTCTTCGTTCAAGTACTACGATTTGCTGAAACCCGCCCTAAGGAGAGTTGCAGAAGACAGGCAAGGCCCGTCTAGGCAAAACTTTCTATCTCGTGACTTGCCCGCCGCCGTTTTCATGAGCGAGGAGCCTGAAGCCCATGACCTCCTGGACATCGACTTGTAACTGATGTGACTAGCTTATTCGGACCATTAGGACGTTAGGATTTCAGTTCAAGCTAGGTGGGAAGCTGATGCCTGGGCAGTGACCTGTGTCTAAGACGAACGTTTTCACCTGCCTCCATGCCGATACCGACAGCATGGCATGCTCGGCCTGGAGGCGGGATTGCGCAGTCCGGAGCCTGTGACGTTAGCTCAGGCATATGCTGAGAGTTGCGGTTGCGTTGCCTCCCCTGCACGCTACGCACCCTGCCAGGCAAGCTTCCACCTTCCAAGGATATGGTGCTTCGAGTGCCTGTCCACTGGACACCTGAGCACAAAGCTGTGGAAGTGTCAATGGTCATCGAAGAACCTGAGAAAGTTGAGAATCAGCGAAGAAAAGGGCGCGTTCTCTCCGAGCTCGCTGCGCTTCTGAAGGAGCAGCGCTTCCCCGAACCCCGGTACTTCAGAAACGTGGACTGCATGGGCATCACTGGCCTCCTGTCGCTACTGGAGTGCATCCGCATCATCAATGTGGTAGAGCCCCTCGGTTTCCAGAAGCAGTTCCGATTACATGTGCAGGATATGCAACACGTGGACATCGTGGACCCAGAGTTTGCACAGGCGATTTGGGACGCCGGCCTTGGATGGGTTTTGCGCACGGTCTCCGTGGATGGTTTGGTTCCCTATGGGCTCAATGATGTGATCAGAATACAGAAGTATGAGCCGGGAGGATATCTGTCGAGACATATCGACAGATCTATCACTCGAGATGGTCTTATATCCAAGTACTCGCTGCGCGTGTTTCTCAACAACTCCGGACCGGAAGGTTTTGATGGGGGCCTCAGCGTCTTTCACGTGCCCCACGAAGCTCCGGTGATCTTCGAGCCAACAGCCGGCATGGGGCTTCTCTATCCTCAGGGGGAGCTCTGCACACTGCAGGAAGAGAACGAAGTAACCCGCGGTGCCAAGTACGTCCTGAGAGCAGATGTGCTCTTCGGGACTCCCGGAGGCCAGCCTTGCAAGACGTGTTGAAGTCGAGTTCATGAAGGACAAAGCTCCTTCGCCGAATGGACCATGCATGGTGTCTGAAAACCAGACACAAGCAGGCCATGGGGGCACTTAAGGGCCCCAGATGGGGCGGGACGGGTCCTCAGAATGAGCCCTCCGGTCTTCAGTGCGTGCCAGGGGAGCTCCGTGCGCTTCGGCAGACAAGTGACAAGTGTGCAAGGTAAAACCTGCACATCCACTTGCGACCGCGTTGCATCACGCCCGGACAGCCATTCCCCACGCACCGGTGAGAAAGAGCCTTGGCGATACTCGCACGGTCGGAGCAACTCTAGTTTAGCTCGCGAATGTCATGTCACAAGGATTTTTCTTCTTATGCTTACGGCTTTTCTTTCTGATTCACCTTACCAGTGATGCAGAGCCTTCACGGACGATTCGGCCAGGTGCTGTCCCTTCTGCTGGTGGCGAAACCTGCTGAGCAGAGGGCAATGGCGGAGACGGAGATCTACTATCAGGAGCAGAGGCTGTTGATGTATACTGTCTACATGTGCACATAAATTTAAGTTTGTTGATGTGCATGCATATGGCATACAGAGTTATCACAATGCAACATGCAGCACAGCAAGATCTACGAACTCTCCTACAACGAAACAGTATGCAACCGTGCAAGTTATGATATTACAGGTCGGCATACAATATCGTCTCACGTAATTGTCTGTAGTTATACCGTATAGTCAATAGTATACACCGACTGTTCCACAAGTAAACTGCTGCTACAGCATGTATACATGTGTTCACGTATATGTACCTGGTTGTATCTGCACAGGAGGACGGCAAGAATCAAAGCCATGTGTATTGACATGGATTATGAAGCATATAGGTCATCAGCTCTACATAGACTGATTCGATGTATACGTACAACATGCATATATGTAGATGTACAGTGCGTGTATGTGTGCATGTATGTGTGTATGTGTGGGTGTGTATGTATGTATGTATGTATGTCTGTCTGTATGTATGTATGCATGCATGCATGATTGCATGCATGTATGTACGTATGCATCTCTTTCTGTATGAATACTCCCCCCTGGTTAACTGTTACATTACTGGTGATGTACACGTGCATCAGTGAAGAGGTTGTACGTGCGTCAACAAACACTCATATGATTTTTGCAGGTCTTCATATTTTCGACGGTATACATCGCGATACTTATATTGGTCGATGTCCTGCGTATGGCTGTGATGTAGGCGCTCCATTCCTCCCTGCTCCCTACGTGCTCCCTACGGCATTATCTAGCCTCGGCTGCGATTGTTTAAACAGGAGTCGCCAGAAGCCTTCGGTCAAGAATAACATACTCTTCGGGCTCGGGCTTGCGCTCAGGGTCGCAACGGCTCATGATCTGCACCTCTATTCCGGCCTCGACTTCTGAGTAAGCTTGAAACTTGCGGTCAGTCCTAAGAGCAGCGGCGTTCTGAAAGCGACGAGTCATATTCTGATCAAGCCAGTGTCCTAGGCGGAGACACTCTTCTTTTTTTTTGGTGGGTCTTTCAAGTTGGGGTCCGAGCAGCCACTGTTCTGTCAGGCAGCCCCCAGAACCGGAGAGCCTGCCCGTGGATCCTCCGAAATATGGCTCCAAGGCATCCTTGGAAAGTTTGCGGTTTGGCATTTGGGTCTAGCCTCTCGGAATTAGGGTTTAGGGTTAAGGGCTCAGGAGTTGAGGACTTTGGGTCCAAGGTTCTAGGGTGTACGGCTTTAGGACTTTCGGTTTAGGCGTAGAAGTTGAGAAGGTTTGGGATCGTAGCCTTGCTTGTGCCTCAGCAAGCTCGAGCATACTTGACATGGAAGACACCTTATAGGCTTGATGTTCTGCAGCATACTGCGTTTTAGTTCACATCAACTTGTCAACTTGCCTGTGTAGAACCCTGCCTATGGCAAACGCCTGTCAGCTCTTGTGTACAACGGAGGAAATTCGTTCCAAGGGCCCTTGAATCAACTTTGCTTGGCAACGTACGCATCTCGGTCTGTGGTGAGAATCGTCGACAACTGGCCTGGAAAGCTTGTCGCTGGGATTCATGCCAAGCCAGGTAGCTTCACGGCAAGATTCCTTGGATGCCGCAGTGCTCGAAGCGCCCGCGGCCGTGGCGGAGGCGGCAATGCCTCGTTGACCAGACAGCTCTATTCCCGTCTAGCCCTGCCGTGCAAGCGCCCAGCAGCAGAGACTGCAGAAGTTTGAGGGTGTGTCACCAATGACAGCTTTTTGAGTGCTTCTCTCGCCTCAAGCTCTGATTGCTGCAAGTGGGCCACACTGTGAGTGAGCAGGTATCAGTGTAGAGACCAAACTGCTGCGGTTGGCTGGCCTTTCACATCTTGTGACAGTGACGGCTTTTTTGTACCTCAGCGCTTGCTGTTGCACTGCATGTCACGTGCAAGCACAGTGCCGATGTGAGCCTGGTGGCAAAATCCGCAGGACATGAACCTGGACTTGATCGAAATGCCGCTTTCCCGGCAGGCCGGAGGGGTTGCCAGCAGGGCAGATGTTACTGCCTTCCCGTGCAGCACCAGCAAGCTCTTCCTGACAAAGCCTGCGCAGAAGCGCAGCACGTGCAACCAGAGGGAGTGAAGCTGCACGGGCCATCAAAAGCAGACACAGTAGCGCATGCAAGACAGCGGTGAAGACACAAGAACAAATGTCTGGCAGTGCAACGGGCAACAGTTCAACAGGCAGGACGTGCAGAAACGGAGCAGCCATAAACCGGAAACGGAGCACGGCAGCGCTGAATCGTTCATGGCCAGCAGGGAACAGTGACATCACCTGACCGACTTGAGCAGGGCCATTTACTGACACTCAGATGACTAGACGTACAAGTTTCACCTGCAGTCCCTAGGTTCAGATTTTCGCAGTTTTGGAAGAGGTTCCAGAGCAGAGTGCCATGTAACACGAACAGGGCATGAGTCAGTGTTCCTGTCCTTCATGTACATTGTTGCGCCTGCCCGGCACGATGTGGGTCAAGTACACGCGCTGCGCCTTCGGCTCCTCGAAGGTAGGAGACGTCAGGACTCATCTTCAGACTCTGGGACAATGAGACACTCTGTGACAGGAAGCAGATGACAGGGTAGCCGGCTCTGCTTTTTCAGCCACGCTGTGGCAGTCATTTGGTTCCGCCCTCGTCCATCGCGATGCAGTGCGCATCCCGTGTCGGCAGGTGCCATGCTGCCCAAACCGGCCTCCTTGCTGTGGCCGTGCTTTGGTTTAGCGCATGCTGCATAGCCACACCTGATGGCATGGGCTTCGCCGCAGGGCACCAGCGTAGCATGCAGCCAGCTTCCGGGATCCAGCGTCGGGCATCCTTCGCTGAGGAATGGGTCGTTCCCGACTGGTTCCCTTGGGCCGAACATTTGAATGGCTGCTTGAGGGATATGTCCAAGGCGATTGCCACATCGTTTCCGTCGATGCAGCGGTCCATGACTATGGAGGAGTTTGCAGAGATGAACGACGAGCTTGCGAACATGCGAGCTCGGCTGAAAGCTGCGCGACAGCGTGAACAAGCGGCCAATGCAGCCTTGGCAGAGCTGGAGCTGGAGATGGAGGACGAGCGGCTGGAGATGGAAGCGGAGATGGCGTCCCTGACCCGTCGAGCAGCAGCCTTGGGTCATGACCCAGACACAACCCGATGACAGCTGCAGCCTGTGCCAAAGAGCACAGCTGCATCAGCCTCACCTATGGGAACCCAGTGCTCCAACAGATTACCAGTCATGCATGTTTGAAGAGATGGTCTCATCGACTGAGCGAGATCATGAAGAGACCTCAGAAGTGATGTCGATGTAGGTTAAAATGAAAGCTATCCCCGTGACCAGGCGATCTTGTGCAAAAGAGACCCTCCATGTTGCGTTGTTGAGAGTTGCCAACCTGGCATTGGAAAACGGTTTGTGTGCAGCGCAGGGCTGCAGGTTTAAATTCTGTTGTAGATCTGACCGTTGAGTGCGCCGTTGCAAAGTTGACTTCATCGCTTGAGGCAGCGGTCTGCATCTGTGGTTCCGAGACTCTTGCCTTGAAGGTAAGTCCAGACAGCGGGATTCGCAAGGACAGGGCGGGTGGCATCATGCATTCCGTCTTTGCCGGACCGTGTTGTGCTGGCCACGAGACTTCGTAGCTCATTAGCAAGCTTCGGCTCATGTCTGCCAGACGAAGACACCACAGGGAAAGAAATGCACTCCTCGGGATTGAATCATGGGCAAGCTTGTCTGCTTTGCTTCCCTCTCGATGCTGACATGCGAAGCGGTTCGCACCCAGTGCTGGTAAGGAGTCGGCGATGATCGACGTGCAGCAACAGCTTGACAGAGTTGGCTTCAATCTGAGTAATTCTCAGTGGCGTTTGGCACTTTACAGCTGCACGTGAGGGCCACGCAAGATGCTGAGCAACTGCAGTCTTCTGGGATGCGCCACTTGTGAGCCCTTCTGCAACACCTGTTGTGTTGAGGTGCATCCAAGCCAAGGCTTTTCCGCACGCAAAGTGAGAAGGAGCACATCACATTGAATAGACGTGCTGAGAGATGTGCTGAGAGTCATGCCAGCGAGAGACTTGTAGTATAGGCGCTCTGACACGGTCACTTTCCAGGAGGAGGCCATGAGGCGTGCTGCTTCGGCACGGGAACTCACGCTGGAAATCGACCTCGAAGGCTGCCGCGCGGTCATCTTAATGGCAGTCTACAGCGTTCCTGCGCCGGCAGTCGCTGTTCAAGTTCGTCCTCACGACATGTGCAGACGTAAGCCCAAGCCTCCACACGCCACGATTCACCGGGAAATTCTAGCTTTATAGGTTTTGAAGAGTGTTGAGAACCGAAACTGTGCTGTTGCCAATGTGCATTGTGTCATCATCCGTTACTGGTATGTGACACACTTATACTTGTGCTTATTTTCTGGGCTTCACTCTTGATTAATGTCATGAGTGCAAGTGGTAGTCATAAGCAAGTACTGCTCGTAGCAGTATTATAATCATACGTGCGATATGTTGAGCATGAGGAGAGCTACCATCCAAGAATCTAAGCCAACAGTATTTTGCACATTGTTTTTGAGGAGTGGCATCGTAGAAACAGTGGAACTGTTATTTTGGAACATGTCAAACGATCTGCCAGAGGTTTCACATGAACATGCTGCGAACAGTTTGTGTTTGCTCATTAGGAATACTTCTGAACTGGGCAGTATGAATCGTGCGGTTCGTACCGATAACAAACACTGTGCCGATACACATACTAGATAGCTGAGTAGCTAGCTAGCCATCTATCTGTCTATCCATCTTTCATAGATTGTCAGACAGATGAGATCTATCTACCAATCTGTCTGTCTACCTATCCATCTATTTGTCTTTGTATTTGCGTGCTTGCGCGCTTGGTGCCAGGCAGGTAGTACCAGTGCGGTCGCTCTGTTTAAAAGGTTACGAAGGCTAAGATAAATCGTGCAGGTATCGTGGCACTCGAGTTTCCAAGAGAAATCATTTTAGTTGTTGACGCCTGATGTTTGGGACTCGTGACGGCTACTCAAGGCTCGCAGCAAGAATGGTAATGAAGTTATCAGTCGCATCATTACAGCATGCGGCGTGTTTCTCTGTTAACATGTATGTGCACAGAGGCATCTAGCTGCTACGGCGATGCACAGATAGATCCGCGGGTAAGGGAGAAGAAGAAAATGGGACCTTCAGAAAGAGAAAGAGAGTGATCTTCCTTTGGCTGAGATGAAGAGGAAGGGGGTAGATTCTTGGGACCGAGAATGGCGTGCCTGCAACAAGCAAGCGACTTGCCGGGCCGGTCTTTCCCCTCGGCACACACTTGATTTCCTTCAACCTAACAGTGTGGCACCCAAAGCTTGCCCCCACGGAGGTGTGCAGTGAGGGTCACCCACTCGGTCCGAAAGACCACAGTACAGCCAAGCCTTCGACAAAAATGGTGGATGGGGAAGCGCCTGGAGCGCGGGTCCAGGGGTCTGCCCTCGGCTCTTACCCCAAGCAAAGCAAAGTAGCACACGCTCGACACAACCGGAGCGGATGCACACAGACCCGGCAAGACATCTACTGGCTGCAGCATAATCTTTCGAGCATGAAACAGTCTAGACCCAGCGCCGACATGGTGCGTGTGGATGGTCAGAAGCTCTGTCCGGTGTACCCGAATGTGTACGATGTGGCAGGGAGCCACGATGCCGTTAAATTGTTCAATGCAGTTTTTGCATGCTGGTGGGCGCGACTGAAGGTGGCTTTTTTCATGTTGGAGTGCAAGTCGGCAGCACAGAGTGGGCTTTTGGGAAGACTTTGAGCGCGACAAAGCCCGGTGTGTTTGGAATCCCACCCCGACAAGACACCCTGCACAGCTACAGGGAGACGATCTTCTTCGGGTACACAAGGCTGTCTCTGACGGAGCACAACGCCCTCATCAGGGACATTGTCGGGGATTGTCCTACGACGTCTTCCCACGGAATTGTATCGACTTCTGCCACCGCTTGAAGGTGGAAGCCCCTCCCAGAGTGGATCAATGGCGCGCAAGAATCGGGAGCTCCATGACCGAAAATGTCAGCGAAAAGACCGCAAGATCATGGCATCCACCCTCCGCCGTGTGGAACATCGATTCCAATGCGTGGCGACATCTTGCCACTTGCCCCCCACTGTGGTTCACTTCTCCAGCCCTCCTGGCCTGCTTCAACCTAACACCTCACCTGAAAGCCTATGACCTTAAAGCAAAAACCCAAAACCCAAGAACCAAAAACAAGGTCACGCCTCCGCTGGTGGCCCCGTGGATTTTGCACGCCAAATCGTACATCTATCCCACGAATACCAGCATTCTTAGTGATAAATGCGTTTTACGGAGCGCGCCCCAAAGCACGAGAAAGGAAACACGACCGGTGACCATGATGCTGCTGATGCTCGCGTACGGCACGCGCGCGCGCGCGCGCGCGCGCGCGCGCGTGCGCGAGCGCGCG